AATATCTTAGTAGTTGAATATCTCGAAAAATATTTGTTTTGTTTAATACTTTCATTCTCAGAGTTCATTACTTTATTAAATTCTACCATAAAATACATATACACATATAAAAATTCTATTTTAAACAATCAACATCGCTCTTTAAGACTTTCAGAGAGAATTGACTTTTTGAGAATACTGATTCGATGTGAAACATTTTTTTATCAGACCATCGGAAGGGGCTGAAAAATCGCGGGGACTGATTTGTGCCTCACCCTGTATACGAAAACGTACGTATTGTGATTCAGAAATAGACTACCATTAAGTCGAGTGCAAATTAATTATGCATACTTCACATTACATTTATTGCCCTGCTTCTTTATACGATATCAAAGTATATAAACGAAGAAAAGATATCATTAGGAGATAGCGATACAGAGGTGTGATGGTAACGATTCATCGCCTCCCCCTCCCCACCCAAAGTTATGAAATCATTAAAAAATGTATTCATTATTCATTTTACATTGGATTCTATAAATGCTATTGAATAAGTAGTCGTATAAAATAGAATATTAATAAATAAATTGTAAACTTTGGTTAATAGCCTAGTATATACATTTCATTTTTTAAGAAAAAGACTATTCACTGGATTCATTGTAACTCCCATAATTTTTACTATTTTTCTACGAAAAAAAAGTGTGTATACTCTTGAAACGTAGAGATGAAAGTATGGATTTAAACTGAATGAAAGAACAACAAACTACGGGTGATCTCAAAGCAAACATCATTCGTGTTAACAAATACGTAATTTAACCCACAATTATAGATAACACCGAAACTAACAAGATTTATTGAGTAAATTAAATAAATCAAGATTGTCGACCAAATGTTGATGTGAAGATAGGTAAATTATTAAAAAAGAAAAGATTTACGAAGAACTCTCAATTTAGTATCCAAGATGGCCGTCACTTTAAGTCAGCAAAGGTCACCGCGAGGCAGAATGTAGCGTGGACACCGGAAAGGAACAAGCCTAATGAAAAGTAACGAGCCACGCGGGGCAAATTGAACGGTTCAAAATTTGTCGTATAATTCATTTGTCATTTTCCGACAGGCATAAACGTGGCATTAAGATTCTAGAACGCAGCCACAATCCGGCGCGTATGCCAACGACTTTCGTGGACGCGTATGCGCGACCGAGTACGTAGCCTCATTTGTACCAACACGTATCCAGAAACCAATTTATATTTATGATGTATCGAGGCTCGATGACACAGCGACTGGCTATGCTGGTCTCGAAGCAGCTGGGACTAGCAGGAAGAAATAGAAGTGGAAAGGAAAGAGCAAGAGAAGCGGAGAAGATGGGAACAACCGGTGGTATGAAAAGTGTCGAGCATCGTCCTTAATTCTATACTCTTGCGGTATCCGCGATGTTAGATCGATCGTGAAAACGCTGAAGCAAATTGGGATCGACAGTATGGGAAACGAAGGGAACAGCGAAAAGGCAGTGGGTTGCATCGATTGATCGGCACACGATCGTCGGATTTCACTCCTTTCCATTGCTTTCATTGAGTTGCAGGGAAAGAAATCATGCACCAACGCCTACGACGCGATCGAATATGAAAGAATTATGGCAGCGAGCGTTCGACCCTCATCTTCTGAAATAATGCTACGTGTCTGTAGTTCAATGACCCAGTGGTGTAAACATCTTCGAACATTGCACAGCGGATCAAAACGCGAAAAAGCTAACCAAGCGTTTAGAAACACCAGGGAAAGACTAAGAATCTTTCTAAAAATGCTGTATATCGAGACTTTCGGGATAGCTGATCGTGAGTTTAATATCAATAACAAATCAGATCTTTGATACAAGTAATGAGTATCAAGATTGTCGATTACGAACACGATATCATTTCGGTGTTTGAAACAAACTTTCATTGGTATATGTAAACGTAGAAGAAATACAACACTTATTGTTATTCTTACCGCTGCCACTGAGAACTTTATTAGAAACATTAATAATAACAAAAACACTAATATATGTAAGTTTCTATATCCATATTAATAAATGTCAATAAATTATTAGCCGGAAAACAAACCTAATACCGATGCGGTATGAAAATGAAAAAAAAAACATACCTGAAATTACAGGTCTGCGTCTTAATCTTTCGATGGGTGCCACACTCGTCGCAACACGTTATCGGTACCCGGCAAAAATCTTGCTTCACGCTTCGAGATTACCACTTTCGCATCCAGACTTCAAACTCTTTGAAAGCTCGCGGCTTATCCAGTTACGAATTTAGTGGTTTACCGCGGCCAATGAATTACAACCTTCGTCTCCATGAGAACGTGTCCCCGCGAGAACGCGGTGTTATTGCATCGTAGAAATACCTTCGAGGGCCGTTTCGTTTGGCACGTAATAACTGCCATAGGCGTTTGCGCCGAGGTGTCTCCGGAGAGACGGTCCACGTGGGGTCAGAACCGTCGTGGTTTCCAGATCGTAACCAGATCTGTTGAGTTTCGAGGTTTACGGCCGCGCGACGGACCGCAGGGACGCGCGTATATTAAACGAAAAACGATCGAGAATGCGTGCCGTGGAATCTGCCCACGAAATTCCATCCATTGGACACGACCAGGATAGATAAGATACTGTGCGTGGCTGACGAGATGTCTCGCGGAAGAATCAAGGGGATTAGACTGTGGATCTTTATTAATAGAATTATTAATAAAGTATTTTTATTAATAGAATTAAAGATATGGGAGCTTCGTAGAGGGTTGTCTTAACTCTCGAATATAATAATTCGTGTCTTGAAGTATTTCTTATATTTTTGCAAAGTAAATGTTTTTTGAGAATTAAAATTTCCTATAAATGCATAAATCAAATACAAACATAGAAATAGGGGTAATTATATGTTATAGAACTCAACATTTTGAACAAGTTTTTCTTATACATACAACCCCTCGCCCCGACAGCCCTTAGTACACATTTAAAAAGGAAGAAAATTTTAAAATGATAGCGATGTCGCGAATAATTTGAGGCAACTTTCATGAATTTGACACATGAATTTGACACTGTTACGTGAGACAGTCATCGTCGGTTATCTCGTTTAACAGGAGACACGAAAGGCTAAACTGCTTATCGGATGAATTTCACTAGAATACTGCATAGCGTAGGTGTATCGCGAAGAAACACAGTCTTCCTTCACGCTGATTGCAAAAAATTGAACGACAGACGGAAAAAAGGGCGACGCGCCAGACTAACAAAAACGAACGACCGAGCGTGGCAACAATGAATTAATCATTGTCCTGCAACTTTCATTAAACCGACATTTGTTCCATTTTAGCGGTCAGGCCTCCTGAAAGCGACGCAAATGAAACACGAAACTAATACAAAACTAATGCAAAACTAATGAAAAGCAGACTGCGTACTTGAGCGAAAAGAAAACGCAACGAGAACTTAAATTGCAAGCAGCGTTTTCTGGGAATAAACGAATGGGCATTTTTTAATAAGAATGCAAACAAAAAAATTAGGTTACGTATATGAATCGTATAAATGTATAAATGTATCCTCCGAATATTTCACCGACGCGATCATGATCATTTTTATACGATTCTTCTCGGTATTTTTCTGTTTTTCTGGATCGTGATCGACGAATGATTTCGTCGTCTCGTGACGCAACGGAGTTTGCGTGCGTTTCTTGCGCTTGATCAGAGGTGAAAAAGAAAAAAATCGGAAACCACCACGCGATGCATAATTCATGGTGGTGGGTCCGGCTTTATGGCACACCCCGGGCTTCGTGATGTAAACAGTCGTAAATTAATGCAATTGGCCAGAGCTAGTCTCACATGTGTGGTGGAAAAAGAGAGGAACACAAAAGCGGTCCGTCCGCGGCCGGAGTTCCGCACCGTCGCATTCGTTTCGTGTTCGTCTGATCGCTTCTCGCTTCCACGCTTCGTAAATTCGAGGTTCTCCGTGTTCTATTGGCGCGCAATCCGTGCACGCTTTTCGACTTCCGGTCACCGGTACCATCGCCATTTCGAAATTATCAGCAACGAACGACTTGTGCTACCGTCGCTCGAAACTCCTTTCGCGATCGAATCAAGCAAGTAAAAAATCGATTTTCTATTCTATTTCATTTTCTTAAAATGTGTGTGACTTTAAAAATTCCGACGATAAAGAGGTTTGACTATACCCCGATACTAGAAATCCTGATGACGTGATAATTTCTTTTATTTTAATTGTAGAATTTTGTTTGTATTACTTTCGTGAAGTAAAAAAATACGAAGGAAATGAGGAGTTTGGATATTAAATTTTTAGTAGTCAAATAAATGTGGCAATTAGAATTTTGTTCAATATTTCAAGTCTCAAACAATTGTTCGTTTTGTCTCTGTTATAAATCACTGTATAGTTCGTCGTACTTGAAGTTACGTTTTGTCGTAGTTATCAATTAATAAATTAAGGTTTCGAAACGCCCAGCATTTTCTAGGATACCCTAACGCTACAACTAACAATAATTTTCCGCACCGTTCATTATTTTCCTCTTTACTTTCTCTCGTTACCGGTGTATATCTGCGCGCAATAAAGACGTATCGTTATTAACTGTCGAAGAATCGCGACAAAGCTTACGCTTACAGTGAACCGAGTTTCAACGAAATCAGGTATTCTATTCAACGTTGACGCACAGCGCTAGAACAATGGCAACAAAATCCTTCGCCATTGTCTTTTCAAATAAAATATCATCGCGGACTCGAAGCATTTCGCACTCGAATCGTCAACTCCTCTGACATTAAAAGACTGCGTGTGCCATTTGCAGTCCCGCTGTCAGCGATCGTTTTGCATTGCAAACGACTTTCGTCCCATTGTTCGGGTTTACCAAATAATTTCTCTCGAAGCTCAGAACACAAAGAACGAAATGAACGGGCAAAGACTGATTCAAGGAACCTTCGTATGGAAATAAATCTCGGCGAAGAAAAATTTTTTGGAAGCACAACGCGTGTGAATGCACGGAGAGAAAAACGTCACCCACCTCTTATTGCCTCCTCGGACACCTAAATGTCTATTAAAAGTCACAAGGCACGTCCACGTTTTCGCGCTTCGGACGTTGAGTCCTACGATTGGAGGCCGTTTCCATGCACGAGAACGAAGCTGTCAAGCAAGCGTATCACCTGTCAAGTTTTCGCGTTCGACGACGCTTGTTTTTTAGATACGGAGTTGCGCGGTCGAAGCGCCGAGCTGAACTGAAGCCGGAGTGTCTGGAAATCCTTGCTATAATGCCGCGCGACGCAGAGAGATCCGCTGCTAGCGCGCGCACAATATTCATTATACGGCAGAAAAGAACTTAATTCAACTGTAAAAAAAGGGACTTTAACGCAACAAATAAATAAAAATATTATGCAAAGCAAAATAGTTGGTAACTGAGTATTAAATCTTTTTAAAATCACCTGGCATGCGTTGGTGAAAAGTTTCAAAATTTTCCTGTACAATTCATTCGTTTGCAGAGGTCTCGTTTCTGCAATGTTTATTCGTACGATAAAAGTAAAAGGGTGAATTGTAAAATGAAGTTATTGTATATTACATTTGAATACGTCTACCTTGAAACGTCATTTTATTAAATTTCTATGTTACAAAACGAAAGTATTGTCCATAGAAAATCTATAAATGGCAAAATGATTCATAGTTAATATGGCCGTTTACAAAATGGAGAAACGTCGATTATTAAATGATATTCTAAAAATCAGCAGAAACTGTAGACTACTGTATACATATTAACCTAATTGAACAATTTTCATAGGTAACTGACATTTTATTTTAAGATCCATAGACATTTAGAAATAAACTGAAAATTAAATACGTAATTATCAAGTTGTGAATTTTTATTAGTGGAATTTTCATTTAAATAATGTATTTTCATTAAATAGGGTCTCTTATTGTGGAAAAATAGAGTTGAAGTTGAGTTCAGGTTGAGCTATGCCGAAGCTTCTCGTCGTTGCAATCCAACTACCAAAAATCGTTCGATACTTTCCCCTAAAGGCTTTTCCTTGTTTAATGCGTGGGGTATGTCACCCTAGCATTCTTCTGGCGTCGTATTACAACTAACATGGGGCAGATGGTTTATGGAAGAGTGTTCTGGACATCTATGGGGCTTCAAGGCGCCAGGTTTAGTGATTTATTGCTGCTGCCGTATCTCGTTTAACGGAAAAGTACACACGTAAGCGATTGTCGACCAATAGTTTTTCTAAAATAATATTTATTTACTTATAAGTAATTATTATTTAATCTATATGTATATTATTATTATGTATATAAAATGAAAGGCCTGACTCACTGACTCATCAACGCCCAGGCTAAGCCCTTGGACATAAAAAGCTGAAGTTTTGCACAGAGGTTTCCTTTATGATGTATACAAGAAATAAGAAAGGATATTCCGAAATTCAACCCTTATGGGGTGGAAAGGGATTGCAACGTTTGTATGAGGCATATTTTATTTGTGATCGGATTTACTTGAAACTTGGTCTTAATGCTCCTTGACATAATTAATCAAGCACCTGTTTCGGCATTTTAAGAAATTCTAACCCTGGAGGGGTGAAAGGAGGTTGCAACGTTTGTATGGGTCATATTTTGTTCGTTGTCGGATTTGCTTCATAATTGTTCTTAATACTCTTTAGTATAAGTAATCAAACACTTATTCCGGTTTTTAAACAAATTCAACCTCTGAAGGGGTGAAAAGGGGTTGTAACGTTTGTATGAGGAATACTTTATTTGTGTTCAGATTTGCTTTAAACATGGTCTTAATGCTCTTTGATATAATTAACCAAACACCTATTTCGACATTTTAAAAAATTCAACCTCTGAAGGGGTGAAAAGGGGTTGCAATGTTTGTACGGGACATATTTTGTTCGTGGTCAGATTTACCTGATACTTGGTCTGAATGCTCATTGATACACTTATTTCGCATTAAAGTTGCCTTATTTCCGTAAATGGATCTAGAAACTTCAAATTTAACATGTAAGTACAAGATAATAATTATATTATCTTATCACTAAACCGTTGCAATGGTATAAATACGCCTAAATATCGGTATGGGTGTCGTTATGAAGGTCTTTTGGGACGTTAATTACGAAAATGGTATCAATTTTGAAATGTAAGATGGCGACATGACATAAAATTAAAACTCTATAGAGATGAATGGGGGCTTAAAAGGTTTAATGGAGAAACATTATCTATTTCCGAGGGAACTAAACGGTTTCCTGTGCGAGCGAAGCCGCGGGCAAAAGCTAGTAAGAAATAAATACACAATGCATAAAGCAACGTGCAAAGTAAGTATATTCAAAAAGTTATTCCTTAACCCCGTAAAGTGACAAAACCCCCATAAAAATGGTCAATTTTCAAATGGCCATAACTCCTACAATAGTGAACGTATCTCATTGAAATTTATTCTGGAAGTAGAGCTCATGGATACCTACAAAAAAGTATTAGACAACATTTCCGTACAGCGTCAAACAAATTTATGAAAAATGAAAAACGAATTTTGAAGAAAAATCGACAACGTTATGCCTTACTTTTTCGGCAAAAAGAAAAGTTTAAGTTTTTCTAAAAAAATTATTTTCGGTATCGGGGGTCATTTGCAATCATTTTTGGTGAATAAACATACGCGCGAAATCCTACGCATTTTCGAGAAAAACATTCGAGTAGGTGCTGAAATTTTCGGCAAAATTAAAAAATTTCATATCGTTCTACAAAAATTATTTTCTGAAGAATAAAATTGCTGCAATTTCATTTTCTGTCTCACTTTCTCTTATGTTTATTTCTGTAACTTGGTAATGTTGCGAGTGACACAAAAATGGTAATGGGATCTAGAGTCCCAGAAAATTGGGCCGAAAAAATACATTAGATGTACGGTCTACTCTTATACCTCGTCTCGGGTAAAAATATCTTGACTTTAGAATTGATACGACTGTATAATGCGTGAATAATCTTTGATCAAAACTTTTGTCGATATCTGATTAGAAGTAAAATTCGTGAATAATCGAGTTAAATATGATTCGTGGAGTCATTGTTCTTAAACACTCGTTGCTGGAAAACATGTGGAGAATCGTCTCACATGTGTCAACATTTTGTTAGATTTTTAGTCTCTTTATTGGATAGTTATTCTGAGAACTCTCCTTTTGTTATTTGCTTCTAATAACAGTCGAATTTCGATAGCTTTTCTCTTTTCTCTAGACGAAGATAGTTAGGATTCCTCACCAAAGGAAGGGTGGTTGGGGTGAGGCTGGGCTGGTCTCCACGCGGTGAGACCTGGGTCATTGTTATTTAGTATGTAATTAATTTTATCGTTTGTTACTGTATAATACAATCATTAATTACATAGTACATAATATAAGCTAATGGCTGCGATCCGCTTCGTATAGTTTAGTATGAATATAACTTCTTCGTCAGATCCAAAGCTATAAATTCTCGTCACATTTAGTTTTAGTTCTTATAGTCGATAGCGTTATAGTTTAATTTCATTTCCATTAATTGCGATTTACTTTTGACAACTAAATTTTCAATTGTACGATTTTCCATTGAAAATGATAAGAAAGGCTTTGTTCACTAGTATTCGTTAGTGTAAAAATAAAAAAACTTGATGCTCGATTGATTGTCGTTTACAGCTGTTCGTTCTAACCTTTCAATAACCCAACTGGGATATTTAAACGTAAAGCTATGGTCGATAGAAGAAGCAAGCATGCTTCCTCGGTTCGAGATGGAACGCCATCGGTAATAGGTAAACTTACAGAATGCGTTTAATAGAGTGTATTCGATAGAAACTATAGATAGTCAACGATCACTATTCATTAGGTGACACTACGAGAAGTCATCGTGAGAATTTTGTGTCCGAGTTTTTAAAATCTTTGGAAGAATATAATGTTCAGCGATTGCCTAGGCTTGCAGTGAGTTTACTCAAGTCTATAATTTTCAACAAAATGCAACGCTTTCCCGAATAAAATATTACATAGGTTAGAAGCGGCGTGGATGTTCGAGTCTCAAGTGCTTTGTCTCGGCTAAGTGAAAAGTAACGATAAGAATTATTAATATTAAGGTCACTGAAGTTCTTATTTCCAATAATGATCTTGTCAAACGTCTTTATTGATATAATTTCCTACGTACAAAATTAATAAATTTATTCGAAAAATTATCTTATATTTAATCTGCAAGAGACGTGGTGGACGACTCGCCCATTTTTTATTTAACATACGAAAATAGAAAGTTGGATGCTCCGAAAAAAATCGAGAGCAAAGATGAGTATCACGGGAAATAATTTCTATTTTTTAGCTACCTAGAACGATTGTCTCTATTAATTGTTGAACTTTTATTGCATTGCACGGCGCGAAGTATCGATCTGCATTTTGGATGCACTAAATTCGACGATGCGGAAATATACCACCATCACGGTTCTCAAGTAAATCGATTAAAATTAATAATTTGATCATCTTAATTATTTCTGATATTACTCGATCAATTTAAATTATTTTTTATCGATATTTTGATTTAGAACGATATACAAATTGATTACAGTTCATTTCTAACAAGTTAATTTACTTTAAAGTTGCCAATCAGGATTAAGTTTGTGTTTTTCAATGAAGTGGCAGTTTTTTTAATGGAAGAAACGGTTTTAACAGACTGCCATATTTTCGTAGATTACCAGATTGTCGAATAAACGCGTTTGGCATCATGCAAATCGAAATGTTAACGCGCATCGGGTGTCTGCAAGATTTGAATTTGGATATGAATCCGAACGCGCAGGAAAATTTTCACTCGCTTTGCGCGCCTACGGGAAAGTAAGATTCTCGTGAAATTGTTCTATTGAAGAATTATTTTAACGAAAGAAATCGTGTATTCAGTTTACGGTACTTGTCCCTGAAGCTTTGCCAAATATCCGACGATGGAATGAAGAAGATCGCGAACGAACTAAAATACCAGGATCCACCGAACGATCCTAAATTAATTATTTTAAATTTGACTAATAACCATATTACCACGTACGGGGCAGCTCATGTCGCTTGCATGCTTCGAACAAATAGGTAAACGATATTATTAAATTGGATCTCTGTAACCCGAGCCTCTTTAAGTCGAAGCTTTATTCAAGTTGTAAATCCTCGATAACTTAAAATATAAATAG